AGCCTATCGAGTTTTCTCCTTTTATTTATTTAAATCTTTTTTTAAAAGATCATTTTATTGGGGGGGGGTGTCTTACAGCTCTTATAACAATCCATGCATCAATTGTATCGAGCACATGTGTACATATGCTGCCATCATCCTTTTCTAAACAAGAGCGTTCTACTTTTAACTTCTTGAAGTCCGGAGTCAAAGGGAAAGATTGTAGAGCTCTATCTTTCTCTCTCCAATTTGGGAGCCTGTGATCAGAACCCACCCAGCAACTTTGTGAGAGAAAGACTGGGTGACCATGCTCCCCTACACACCACAGTCTAGAAAACTCTCTAAGGCACTGCTCATCTGCCACACTGGGTCCTTCAGGATGAGAAACATAGGCACCCAGCCACAGCAAACAACAAAAAAAACTTCCCTCTCCTGCTCTTTGAAACGCACTGCTTGCTTCAGAGCCTCCAAAGCTGTTCACTTTCTCTGCTTGGCTGGTGAAACATTTGCAATCCTCCCCCCTCCCCAGCCCCACGGAGAGGCTGGCACTCACTCGTTAACATGCTGTATCTTTGGTCCGAGTCCCCTACCTTTGAGACCAGATCTCACCACTTATTAGCTGTGTGACCTTGGCAACTTATTCGACCACTTGTGCCAGTTTGTTGTTGTTTTTGCCTCAAAAGGCAATGATAATACTGCCTCCTGTCACCTGACAGTTAAGAGGATTCCATGAGATGATGCAAATGCAGCATCTAGACCTGTGCCTGGTATGGAGGAAGTGCTGGATAAATGTTGCCTATAATGATTGTGGCCTCTCGTGACCCTAAGGGAGATTCAGCTGCAAGCACCCAATTCCTCTCTCTCTCTCTCTCTCTCTCTCTGGTCCATCAAGGTAAATCCACCTTTTCTTTATTGCACAGGCCCAAGTGGTTACAGATTTCCCCAAATGTCCTCGAGTTGTTTGCAGGACAGGGTTTGAAAAGATGGGGAGTGTTTGGCTTCCGTGAAAAGGCAGCGGGGTAGAGTGTGGGGAGGGGAGGATAGATGCTTAGGGCAGTGGCGGAGCTGGGCTCAGATACCTCGCTGGTCTCTATCACATGGACATTTTATCCTCTGTCACTACACGAGTCCAGGAACCAGTCAGCTAAAGTCTCCTCTTAACTGGGCCAGTACGCCAGGGCTTGGCACCTCATTCTCCGCAGCTGGCCGAATCCTCACTTTCCTGGCATGTGCGCTCTAGTCCGGGGCCTCTCAAGGATATTTTCCCAGTGGGGCTGGTTCAGCTGGTGCTGGGAACAGGGTTCCAGTGGCAGAGGTGGAGGTGACGAATGCTGCTTGGGATCTAGTGACATCATCTGGGCGAGGCACCCCTAGGCAGCCTTGCCTTCCTGTGTCCCGGGCCCTGTGTTGGGGAGAGCTCAGCCCATCTCCCTCAGAATGAACAGAAGGAAGGTCTCTGTTCAGCACAGCGATGACAAGCGGAGACCCTAGCCAAACTCAGGCCTAAGTTGGCTGTTTTCTTTCTTTCTTTTCTTTTTTTTTAGGGTGGTGGTGGTGGTGTAGATGTGGTAATTTGAAGGAAACAAAATGAGCATTTGATAAGGAGAAAATCAAACCAACCAACCAAATCCCCTGCCCCCCCACCCCCCCGCCCCCCTTCCCCACTGCCATTGAACTGATGCCAATTCATAGCCATGCTGTCGGACAGACTAGAACCGCTCCGAAGGGTTTCCAACACTGTGGACCTTCAGGGGAGCAGACTGCCCAATCTTTCTCTTGGTGGGTCTGGACCGCCGTCCTTTCAGTTAGCAGCCAAATACTTAGCCACTGCACCCCTAGAGCTCCTTACAATGAGATGAAGTCAAATTCTGGAGACTTGGAAAACTCAGAAGACAGGCCCACATTCTGGGCCACCTTCCCTCCGGACCTCAGGCACAGCAGTTCCCCACCATCGCTCCTCCTCCTTGCTATCAGTTTCCCTACCGAGGCCTTATTGTGTCTGCATGGTGGTGTTCTCATGATAGAGAAACCCGTATCGACTACGATGTCTGTACCGCAAATGGGAAAGGGGGAACGGAGGGGTGGTGGTGCTGACGGGAACCATGAAGAATGTTCCACTGCCTTAACATAGGACCCCCTGGGATGTGTCCCTCATGCATATCGCCTGATGCAACCTGTAGGCATTTGAGTTGGTGAACCCTGATCTATAGTTAACCACCTCCAAGACCTGTTGGAAGAAGGTGGCAAGAGGACATCCGTGCTGGCACATGAATACCACTCTTGTAACCACTGACCCATGCCCCTTCTGAGCACAGCATTCACTCAGCCAGAAGCAGAGAGATTTCCCCACATTTGCAGTGGTGGGGGCAACATGAGCGCAGGTTTCAGCTAAGAATGCATAACAAGAGGAAAGAATGCTGAACTGAACCCACAGTGCCCCCCAAGGTTTGTTGTTATTAGAAAAAGTAAATTAAAAAGAAATCAAACTAACCAAAATAAACCCCACCCCCCAAAAAATCTATAAAGAAAATGGTTACTGGAAAAAATGAGCAGCTGATACAATGCTCAAGTAGAAAGCAAATGTTTTGAGCACGATGATGGCAACAGATGTACTAATGTGCTTGACACAATGGATGGATGGATGGATTGTGATAAGAGTTATATGAGCCCCCAATAAAATGATTTTTTAAAAAGAGGGAAAGAGAGAGAGATGGTAGAGTAGCTGGGGGAGAGAAAGGGGAAAGAAGGAAAGATGGAAAAAAAGAAGGAAAGAAAAGAAAGAAACCCAAGGGTTTCATGCATGCTGCTGACTGGGTTTCACACTCTACATACACTATATGACTAAACTCACACTATGTCCCAGTTCCTGGGTATGGAAAATAGGTAAGCCATTAAGTGGAAAGGTTGACGGTTCAAACCCACGTAAATATGCCTTGCAAGAAAGGCCTGAAGATCTGATCCTGAAAGGTCACAGCGGCTGGAGCAGTTCTGCTTTGCACAAATGGGGTTGTCATGGGTTACAATGGAGTTGGCAGCAACATTTTTCTTTTTTCATGTGACTGAATATCCTCTGGAGGTGGATACTTGCAGGGCCCCAATTTGAAGGCAAAGAGACTCAGGAAGTGAAGCTTCAGAAGACCATATAAGCATTGCAGACATGTGTAGAGGCTGTGCAGTGGTGCACACTCGCTGCTCATGAAGGCTTGCAGAACAGAGGTGCAAACTGTGCAGAGAGAGCAAGAGAGGCAGCTCAGGACCCCAGGAGTTCTGGGCAAGCTGATGGTGTCCACAGCTGGTGGCTGCCAGACAATCAGAGACAGAGAAGTTAGGCCACCCACTCTAGTGCTGCCAATTGGTCCCAGCACAGACTTTCTCAAATGTCTTTATCTTGTGCTGAGAAGTGGAGCCACGTCATACAGAATAACCAGCTCTTGCTCAAGTAGGACATATCTGCCTATTTATATTACTTTAACTAAAATGTACCATAAAGAAGTACTTTGGATATCTCTTCATCACCACCTGGAAAGGGGAGACCTGAGAGGTGTCTAGCTACTTCCAGAGCCACAGACTGGCAAGAAGTATATGGAATGCAAGGAAAAAACACACCGCCTGAATTCATTGCCATTGAGTCAATTCTGAGTCATAGCGACAGGGGAGAACTGACTCTGTGGATTTCTGAGAGTGTGACTCTCTCCAGGAATAGAAAGCCTCATCTTTCTCCTGTGGAACATCTGGTGGTCTCAAACCATGGACATTAGCAGCCCGACGATGCAATCACTGTGCCACCAGAGTGCAACTATATAATGCAACATGCCGGCTTAATTCACCACTTCTTTGGACTCTCTCTGGGTCTGGCAGTTTTGGGGAACTGAGATGCCCAACTTTATTTTTATACCCACGAAAGTCCAAGTCCTTTTAAGTTATTCCAAGTTCTGAGGAGAGATCATGGTTCACTACAGGCATCCACTGTGACTTTGTAGTTTGGTCTGGAAATCTTATAGCTATTCTAAGCCAACTGCTTAATGAATTTGGGCTTCTGAAAGGTCTCCAGGTCTTCAGCATCCCAGTAACTACCATTGAGATGGTGGCCGATTTCTTAGTTCTCTTTTGAATTGGTCTCATTTGAGTTTAAATCCATGAGTCTGGCTATCTAGATCCAACTGAATATATATATATATGTGTGTGTGTGTATATATATATATATGTGTGTGTGTGTATATATATATAAAATTTCAGTTATTTAGTACAACCTGCTAAATTCTTATCTCTGTCACATTTTCTCTCTCAAGTTTTCTGTAGACCCCAGCAATTTGGATACAGCTACCTAGCAAAGGCAAAGAAGGCTCTGTCCATTCATGGCCCTGCATGTGTAGTAAGAGTCCTATCGAAATAACAGTGCTCTGTCCCCAGGCTCCAGATATTCCTCCAGCTTTCTACCATCATTCTGAGTTCCCCTTAATGGTCTTGATACCTGTAAGGCTGTTGGGTTGAGTAGCACTGGCTTATTAATATCTTGCGTTTGGATTGACGACTTGGGAGAGAGATGAGACTTTCCATTGCCATGAACAGGGACAGTCTCAGAAACCCCCATAGGCTGCTCTCCCCTGTTCTATAGGGTTTCTGTGAGTCAGAACCCACTCAATGGCAGTGAGTTTGGTTTCTGTTTCTTTGGACTAACGAATAGGTCACAACATCTCCCTTTCCTCCCCGCCCCCTCCATTTATATCATTTGTTCATCTCGAAAGCCTTGCCAAGTCAGAGGGGGAAAGGATGAATTCTGGGACTGGCAATTTAAAGATGAGGAACCTGGGATTAGGCCAGTGACAGAGAGTCAAGCGCTGGGAGTCAGGTGCAGGTGTGTGACCAGAGTTGGAATCTTTTCCTAATGCACAGTTCTGCGTTTTGTATTTGTCACCCACTTTGTATTTGTGGAGGTTCTGCTATGTGTCAATCCATGCCTTTATTTATGGGGGTCCCTTTATTTATGTATTTATTTGCAATAATGTAATAGGTGCATGGATTCTGGCAACAAATGTCTGAGGTTTGTAGTGTGGAGCTGCCAGACAGGTTGCGTCCTCCCTTGGTGTCCTCTCTGAGCCCAGAGTCCCCATCTCCACTGGGGAGTATACATAGTGCCCACTTCAGCCAGTGGCTGGGAGGCCAGTGCACACGGCAAGTGCTCCGTATATTTCCATCGGGGTTATAGAGCGAAAACATTCATTATCCAACCCCTCTGTTTTATGTTCTCGTAGTATCCGACAGACATCATCAGTCTTCAACTTCGCTCTCTATGTGGTCATGATATTTAAGTCTTAAATTTGAACTTCCTTCCAGCCCTGCAATTCTAAGTCAGTGAAAGATTTTGATACAATATGGTGGTTCTCAACCTGTGGGTCAGGACCCCTTTGGGGGTCGAACGACCCTTTCACCTGGGCCACCTAAGACCATCAGAAAACACATAGATATTTCAGAATATATAATTACATATTGTTTTGTGATTAATCCCTATGCTTTAAATATGCTTTATTATATTCAGTTTGTAACAATGAAAATACATCCTGCCTATCAGATATTTACAGTATGATTCATCACAGTAGCAAAATTACAGTGATGAAGTAGCAACGAAAATAGTTTTATGGTTGAGGGGGGTCACCACCACACGAGGAACTGTATGAAAGGGTCACGGCATGAGGAAGGTTGAGAACCACTGATGTAGTCTATACCATAGGAATGCAAACCAAACGAGGGTCAATCCTGACTCAGGGTGACCCCGTCCGTGTCACAGCAGAACTATGCTCCCCAGGATTTTCAGTGCCTGCTGATTGTTGTTTGTTTTGTTCTTTGGAAGTAGAATTCCAGCCATTTTTTTCTGAAGTGGTTTTGGGTGGACTCGAACCTACAGCCAACCGTTCAGTCATTCCGGGCAGCAGTGATCACAGTAGCCATCTGTGTCCCTCAGGCCTAATATAGGGCCTCAAACTCAAACACACTGCCACGGAGTTTGTTCTGACTGAGAGCGACCCTGAAGGGCAGGGGAGAGCGGTTCCTGTGGGTTTCTGAGACTGTAACTCTTCACTGGCGTCGAAAGCCTTGTCTTGTCTTCTTAATATAGGACAGTAAAAAACACAAAACAATACGCCAGAAAAACCAAAAACAAACTCCCTGCCCTCAAGTGGATGCCAACTCACAGTGACCCTCTAAGCAGATGGCAGAGATTGAGGCGTGGCTCTGGGGAAGAGCAAAGCTTTTTTTAGTTGTTGATCAATGGATGAAAGACTGATACAGCAAAGGTCTAATAATGAAAATGGGAGGGAGGGGTCTGCTCACAGGAGTTAAACTACAGTGCGCTTTATTGCCAACTGCAAGGTGTGCTGATGTCATGAAGCCGTGGACAACAGTCTCTTTGTTTGTGAGGTCTTATAGAAATGTGTCTGATGTCTTGTGTTATCTCATCCAACTCACCTACCTATTTAAGTTTGTAATCTAGGGATATGTATTAGAAATAGTGTTTCATCTTCTGCACCTGTAATAGAAACCGCAAAACTTAAAAAAAAAAGAAAAAGATAGCAGACTTTGAGAAGAGGAGACAGAATTGGCAGGGTCCTTGGTTCTGAACAGAGACTGATGCAGGCTGATGTCGATTTGAAATAAGCCTGACCAGGAGAGGGGAGTGGACCACAGCACCGAGGGAAAAGCTGACGGACCAGCCCAGCAAGGACAGAAGCTGAGGCAGCCTCTGCGTGACACCCCCGCTGGGGTCAGTCCACTCTCATCATTTTCTGATTTCCTATCTCAATTTTAAAGGCTCCAATACTCACTGGGAAGAGAGACAGAGTGACTGAGCTGTCCCTCTTGGTAGAGGACCTTGACGGACAGTTCATCACAACTGTCTACAGTGGGAAAGGGGACATTAAAGTGGTAGATAGTCAAAGAAAGGGAGAGGTAATAAAAGAAGGGAAAACAACAGATGGTTCATTCTGAAAAACCCCACAATTTCCATTTATATAACATCTGGAAGAGGTTGGAAAACAGATCAGTGCTTGTTTAGGGCCTTAGCACTGGGCAAAGGATTTGACTCCAAAGGGAGAGTGTTCGTCATGATTGTGAGGGAGATTACATTGATTTGCATGTGTGCTAAAAACTCATTAAGATGTACTGCCAAACAAAAGAATCCATTTTACTGTATTGAAATAATAGTAAAACGAAAATAGAGTACACAGGTCAGTTACAGAGTGGCCTTACGTTCCTAACGACTTGACTTCTTAAGGCCCCTGGCACCAGTGGCTTGCACCCAACTGCTAAAGGGTGGTGATTCAAACCCACCCATCGGTTCCACGGAAGAAAGGCCTGGCAACAAAAGCTCACGGAGGAAATATATGTGGATTAAGCCTCTGATGAATCCTCCTGACTATAGATCAGGGATGGAAATAGCCTTGCTGTCATGCAGAGTACACTGGGAAATGGATTATTACAGATGTGGCTTAGGTTAAAATGGAACACATTATCATTTGATCTCCCTTTTGACCCATTTTAAGTTTGTTCTACATCTAAGTTTTTTATGCCTTTTTTTCATTTGCGGTTTTTCTCTGTTTTCTTTTGCTATTGTTAGTTTTGTGTGTGTGTTTTTTGTTTTTTTTTTGCTTTTTGGTGTATGTTTTGGTATGTTTTTCTGTATATGAAACCCAGGATAGATAAACCCATGGAGACAGTACCTGGATTACTGGTTTCTTGTGGGTATAGCAGGGGAGGTTGGGGGTGGGAGGTAGGGATGGGGCGCTAGTAATAATAAGTAAAAGAAATAAGAAAATATTCTAAAATTGATTGTGGTGATGATTATACAACTCTTCTTAATACGATAGAATGGCTGAATTGTATGAGATGTGAATTATATGTTAATAAAACCATTAAAAAAAAAGAAAGAGAAAACCCCATGGGGCAGCTCTCTCTGTAGCACCTGGGGTCGCCAAGAACCAAAATTGACACAGTGGCAAGAGGTTGGGTTTGAGTCTTACTTGTTAAGCTGTTGATTATAGGGGTGGAAAACTGACAGAAGTCATGCATACTAACCTTTTTTATCACCCCTCCTTTGACACAGTACTTAGAACTTCGATTCAACAAATTTGTTCGTCTCTGCGGAACTATTCTCTTCATTGTGCAAACAGTAAGTAGCACTTAATGAATGTCTCTTTTGTCACCTAAAAGGTTTTAAACCATGGCACTAGACTGAGGTTACTTGGGAAATACTTTCATGAAAAACATAAAAAAAAATTAGAGGTGTTGAAACTGTGAGGAAGCAATAAAAGGAACAACGCTTTTCACACGTAGCCTAAAGATCCTTCAGCAATGTTCAGCACACGCTTCACATCTTGGAAAAAGGGAGTGACTTACGCGAAGCTTACATGTATAGATAAAGTCACAGCCATGGATGGTGCTGTAGGAAAATGTGTTTCAGGAATTCTACCAGAGTGACCGTGGGCATTCACTGAAATAACAGGTCAGAGGGGGTGCGGTGGTAACTGATGTTAGGGATTCTGGCAACGGGAAGACAGGTTGCCTGGTTCACAGTGTTTTTGCAGCCAGACAAGGAATAAGGATGAAATGGGACATAGGAAGATTAGGAAATCATTTTTCTAATTTATCTCGCTTTGGAAAATTGCACCTATTTAAGCAACAGAATCATGACAGCAAGAGGAGCTTTTAAAGTCACGTACAGAACCTAGACTTGCATATTTCAGAAATATGCAAGAATAAATTTAATGACATGAATGGAAATCAAGGACTTGCAGAGAGGTTAGTGATAGAGGATGCCTCCCACTCTCCATTCAGACTGCTAGAGTCTCATTATGGTCATTGGCACATCTATCTATCTATCTATCTATC